TTTGATTGAATTGTAACTGTATTATCATGTCTTTTTTTTGTTGTGGCATTCATATCCACATTTTTTTTAATAGATTGACGATGTATTCCTTGTTTTTTAGTGTTCCTGCCTAATATTCTAAGGGTTTTTTGTTTTCTTTTGTTTTTTTCATCTTTCTCTTTTTTATGCTGTGTTTATGCTGTGTTTATTTGCTGACAATGTATTTCAGTGTTGCTTGATGATTACCTTTTTTTTTCATCATGGGAGGTCCCGCCTGCGGTTCTTACCTTGGGACCTCCCAGTGAATCTATACCCATGCACTATTCCATGTTCACGCTTGTTGATGATGAATAAAAAGATGAATAGAAAAAGGACGCGTCCGGTCAATAGGGCAAGATGGTGTCAATGGTGTGGGAGGGGTGACGGCCGTAGAGTAGGTAAAAAGGGGAGAAGCCTGTTCAGTAAAGTAAAAAGTTGGGCAAGTTGGTGCTGGTTCATGATGATAAGGGGCGCGAAAAAACGACACACAACAGAGAAGAAGTACACGGGACGACGCGCTACTAGCAACTGGAATATTTTATTCAGGAAACACCATTTATACCGCAGTGACATCAAATTTAACCCAAAGAATCGACCAAAAACTAAAAATACATGCTCAGCATGCCTATAAGTAACGTTGCAGATAGGCTATCTCCCCTTCCTGCAGACTGATAGAGGGATGGCTGATGCAATCAGGCCCCTCCCTCTGTATAAAAGAGGGCTTCTATAATCTCCCTCTCCGCTGAGCCCCTGTGCCTGTAGATTACAGTTGTCTGCTCAAATACCGGCTTACAGTTACCCTGATCGCATCCTCTGCAATGCATCGCCAGATGCGTGAACGGCCTTCCTATTAAAGAGCTGCTGTGCTCTCGCAACCGCACGTTGAGGCATCTACCAGTTTGCCCTATGTATGCCTTGCCGCACGACAGTGGTATTCTATATACAACACCACGTGCGCAAGGAACGAACTACCTTACGTGCTTAATGGCACATCCTCTTTTTTCACACTGCTTTGGCCTACCTGTCTTCTTACCAACCGCTGAGCAGATGCGGCCCACCTTGTTTTCTGCGGAGAACACGAGATCCACCCCATACCTCGAAGCCACTCTCTTAAGGCCGTGCGAAAGCCAGTGGATATACGGGATTTTTGACACTCTTTTTCTTCCCTGCGGGACATTCTTGTCTAGGCCTGTCCCAGGCCGTTGCTTAATGGACTTTTTTATTTTTTCGCAAGCAGCAGCTAAGACACTATCAGGAAACGCCGCGTCTCTTAGTCTTTCCACCTGCGCGAAAAAACTTGTATCCATAAGATGTGGGCATGATCTGTCCAAAGCCGTTTTTAGGCACGTCATGGCAATGCCATTTTTTACTAGGCGAGAGTGCCCAGACCTGTAATCAAGAAGCGGCTTCGCGGTCCTAGGGGAAAACATCCAACACACGTGTTTTTGTTGGAATGACAGCTGCAAATCCAGAAAACGCAGCTTTCCATTCTTCGGCACTTCGTGCGTGAATGTCAAGCCCCGCCCCTTATTACCAAACACACTGAGCACTTCATCAACTCTGCTATCAAAGTTGTCTGAATTAATCAACAGCAAATAGTCGTCCACATATCTGTACACTTTTTGGACCAAACCATCAAGGCCAGTTACAAGATCGTTGTCAACTCTGGCTAAAAAATGTTGCTCAGTACTGGAGCCACTTTGGATCCAATACAGATCCCTGATCTCTGCACAAAGTTCTTACCCTTCCAGCCGACGTACGTGTGTTTTATGTAAAAGAACAATAATTCTAAAAAATCTTGAACAGAGATGCCGCACTTGGTCACAAACTTCATTTCATCATTGTTGCCAATGCACTCTTTCACACTAGTCATCAGTTCATCATGAGGCAGTGAATAATATAAGTCTTCTATGTCGATGCTAAATCCCGAAGTGTTCTCATGGACATTTCCTTTAAGGAAATCCACTACCGTAGACGAGTTCGGAATGATGAACGGGTCCTCCACTTTCAGTGAGCTCAACTGCGACTGAAGATAGGTAGACACCGCAAGACACCAAGTGCCTCTCTCCGACACGATCGCACGGAAAGGAACGTCTGGTTTGTGTGTTTTTACTGAAAAGAATGTCTCCATAGTTGAGCCTTTCATCTTTTTCACTTCACTGCACACTTTTTCCAAGTTTAACCGAAGTAGGAGCTCGCGCACTTTTTTTACTACCTCCTGCGGCTTCTCCGACACTTCGCGAAAGTTTTTACACACCGCCGCACCTGCTTTTTCACTGAACATACCTTCAGGCATCACTACAAAGGATCCTTCTTTGTCCGACAGAAGAACACGCAGGCCATTAGTGGTAAAAAAATCAATAGCGGGATCGAGACTAACAACCCGTTTTTTCCTACCTTCTGACCGCGGTAGAAGTTCCACGCACTCTGTGATACACCTAGATTTGTCTTCTTCCTTGACCTTGTTGGACACCGACCTTGCCAAGGCGACCTTATCGATGGCCCGTAGGTGTGGCTCCAAACAAAACTTTTGGCCCAGCTGAAGCACTCTCTTGTGTTCCTCAGGAATGTGGACGTCATCCATGACGACTACCGGCCGTTCAGGGAGGCGCTTTTTCTTTCTTGTCGGCAGTGTGGGACGAACGCTGTTCCAGAGGAGCTCCGTGACTTGGTCAGCGATTTTTGTCCAACTCCCGAAAGCGCGCATTCCACCTTGCCGTTCACACGAGACTACAAGGCAATCCCTGAAGAAACGCACCTGATGCTGCCACTCAGCGCTGAGAATCCTGCACATACGCCGGCAATGGCCTTCCGAAGGTTGCATCCATCCACACATCTGTTGCAATTCAGGGGGGCACAAGGATTCTCTTGCATACCAAGAAGCTGTTCTTGCCTTGCATTTGTAGATTCCGATGAGGGCCGTCATCACCGAGGGGTTGAACACTCAAAAGAGCCCTTTGTACAAGAAATTATACTCAGTAAAGTAAAAAGTTGGGCGAGTTGGTGCTGGTTCATGATGATAAGGGGCGCGAAAAAACGACACACAACAGAGAAGAAGTACACGGGACGACGCGCTACTAGCAACTGGAATATTTTATTCAGGAAACACCATTTATACCGCAGTGACATCAAATTTAACCCAATGAATCGACCAAAAACTAAAAATACATGCTCAGCATGCCTATAAGTAACGTTGCAGATAGGCTATCTCCCCTTCCTGCAGACTGATAGAGGGATGGCTGATGCAATCAGGCCCCTCCCTCTGGATAAAGAGGGCTTCTATAATCTCCCTCTCCGCTGAGCCCCTGTGCCTGTAGATTACAGTTGTCTGCTCAAATACCAGCTTACAGTTACCCTGATCGCATCCTCTGCAATGCATCGCCAGATGCGTGAACGGCCTTCCTATTAAAGAGCTGCTGTGCTCTCGCAACCGCACGTTGAGGCATCTACCAGTTTGCCCTATGTATGCCTTGCCGCACGACAGTGGTATTCTATATACAACACCACGTGCGCAAGGAACGAACTGCCTTACGTGCTTAATGGCACATCCTCTTTTTTCACACTGCTTTGGCCTACCTGTCTTCTTACCAACCGCTGAGCAGATGCGGCCCACCTTGTTTTCTGCGGAGAACAGGAGATCCACCCCATACCTCGAAGCCACTCTCTTAAGGCCGTGCGAAAGCCAGTGGATATACGGGATTTTTGACACTCTTTTTCTTCCCTGCGGGACATTCTTGTCTAGGCCTGTCCCAGGCCGTTGCTTAATGGACTTTTTTATTTTTTCGCAAGCAGCAGCTAAGACACTATCAGGAAACGCCGCGTCTCTTAGTCTTTCCACCTGCGCGAAAAAACTTGTATCCATAAGATGTGGGCATGATCTGTCCAAAGCCGTTTTTAGGCACGTCATGGCAATGCCATTTTTTACTAGGCGAGAGTGCCCAGACCTGTAATCAAGAAGCGGCTTCGCGGTCCTAGGGGAAAACATCCAACACACGTGTTTTTGTTGGAATGACAGCTGCAAATCCAGAAAACGCAGCTTTCCATTCTTCGGCACTTCGCGCGTGAATGTCAAGCCCCGCCCCTTATTACCAAACACACTGAGCACTTCATCAACTCTGCTATCAAAGTTGTCTGAATTAATCAACACCAAATAGTCGTCCACATATCTGTACACTTTTTGGACCAAACCATCAAGGCCACTTACAAGATCGTTGTCAACTCTGGCTAAAAAAATGTTGCTCAGTACTGGAGCCACTTTGGATCCAAGACAGATCCCTGATCTCTGCACAAAGTTCTTATCCTTCCAGCCGACGTACGTGTGTTTTATGTAAAAGAACAATAATTCTAAAAAACCTTGAACAGAGATGCCGCACTTGGTCACAAACTTCATTTCATCATTGTTGCCAATGCACTCTTTCACACTAGTCATCAGTTCATCATGAGGCAGTGAATAATATAAGTCTTCTATGTCGATGCTAAATCCCGAAGTGTTCTCATGGACATTTCCTTTAAGGAAATCCACTACCGTAGACGAGTTCGGAATGATGAACGGGTCCTCCACTTTCAGTGAGCTCAACTGCGACTGAAGATAGGTAGACACCGCAAGACACCAAGTGCCTCTCTCCGACACGATCGCACGGAAAGGAACGTCTGGTTTGTGTGTTTTTACTGAAAAGAATGTCTCCATAGTTGAGCCTTTCATCTTTTTCACTTCACTGCACACTTTTTCCAAGTTTAACCGAAGTGGGAGCTCGCGCACTTTTTTTACTACCTCCTGCGGCTTCTCCGACACTTCGCGAAAGTTTTTACACACCGCCGCACCTGCTTTTTCACTGAACATACCTTCAGGCATCACTACAAAGGATCCTTCTTTGTCCGACAGAAGAACACGCAGGCCATTAGTGGTAAAAAAATCAATAGCGGGATCGAGACTAACAACCCGTTTTTTCCTACCTTCTGACCGCGGTAGAAGTTCAACGCACTCTGTGATACACCTAGATTTGTCTTCTTCCTTGACCTTGTTGGACACCGACCTTGCCAAGGCGACCTTATCGATGGCCCGTAGGTGTGGCTCCAAACAAAACTTTGGGCCCAGCTGAAGCACTCTCTTGTGTTCCTCAGGAATGTGGACGTCATCCATGACGACTACCGGCCGTTCAGGGAGGCGCTTTTTCTTTCTTGTCGGCAGTGTGGGACGAACGCTCTTTTCAGTAAAAACACACAAACCAGACGTTCCTTTCCGTGCGATCGTGTCGGAGAGAGGCACTTGGTGTCTTGCGGTGTCTACCTATCTTCAGTCGCAGTTGAGCTCACTGAAAGTGGAGGACCCGTTCATCATTCCGAACTCGTCTACGGTAGTGGATTTCCTTAAAGGAAATGTCCATGAGAACACTTCGGGATTTAGCATCGACATAGAAGACTTATATTATTCACTGCCTCATGATGAACTGATGACATGTGTGAAAGAGTGCAGTGGCAACAATGATGAAATGAAGTTTGTGACCAAGTGCGGCATCTCTGTTCAAGGTTTTTTAGAATTATTGTTCTTTTACATAAAACACACGTACGTCGGCTGGAAGGATAAGAACTTTGTGCAGAGATCAGGGATCTGTATTGGATCCAAAGTGGCTCCAGTACTGAGCAACATTTTTTTAGCCAGAGTTGACAACGATCTTGTAACTGGCCTTGATGGTTTGGTCCAAAAAGTGTACAGATATGTGGACGACTATTTGCTGTTGATTAATTCAGACAACTTTGATAGCAGAGTTGATGAAGTGCTCAGTGTGTTTGGTAATAAGGGGCGGGGCTTGCCATTCACGCGCGAAGTGCCGAAGAATGGAAAGCTGCGTTTTCTGGATTTGCAGCTGTCATTCCAACAAAAACACGTGTGTTGGACGTTTTCCCCTAGGACCGCGAAGCCGCTTCTTGATTACAGGTCTGGGCACTCTCGCCTAGTAAAAAATGGCATTGCCATGACGTGCCTAAAAACGGCTTTGGAAAGATCATGCCCACATCTTATGGATACAAGTTTTTTCGCGCAGGTGGAAAGACTAAGAGACGCGGCGTTTCCTGATAGTGTCTTAGCTGCTGCTTGCGAAAAAATAAAAAAGTCCATTAAGCAACGGCCTGGGACAGGCCTAGACAAGAATGTCCCGCAGGGAAGAAAAAGAGTGTCAAAAATCCCGTATATCCACTGGCTTTCGCACGGCCTTAAGAGAGTGGCTTCGAGGTATGGGGTGGATCTCGTGTTCTCCGCAGAAAACAAGGTGGGCCGCATCTGCTCAGCGGTTGGTAAGAAGACAGGTAGGCCAAAGCAGTGTGAAAAAAGAGGATGTGCCATTAAGCACGTAAGGCAGTTCGTTCCTTGCGCACGTGGTGTTGTATATAGAATACCACTGTCGTGCGGCAAGGCATACATAGGGCAAACTGGTAGATGCCTCAACGTGCGGTTGTGAGAGCACAGCAGCTCTTTAATAGGAAGGCCGTTCACGCATCTGGCGATGCATTGCAGAGGATGCGATCAGGGTAACTGTAAGCCGGTATTTGAGCAGACAACTGTAATCTACAGGCACAGGGGCTCAGCGGAGAGGGAGATTATAGAAGCCCTCTTTATCCAGAGGGAGGGGCCTGATTGCATCAGCCATCCCTCTATTAGTCTGCAGGAAGGGGAGATAGCCTATCTGCAACGTTACTTATAGGCATGCTGAGCATGTATTTTTAGTTTTTGGTCGATTCGTTGGGTTAAATTTGATGTCACTGCGGTATAAATGATGTTTCCTGAATAAAATATTCCAGTTGCTAGTAGCGCGTCGTCCCGTGTACTTCTTCTCTGTTGTGTGTCGTTTTTTTCGCGCCCCTTATCATCATGAACCAGCACCAACTCGCCCAACTTTTTACTTTACTGAGTATAATTTCTTGTACAAAGGGCTCTTTTGAGTGTTCTAACGCAGTCTTGTTCAACCCCTCGGTGATGACGGCCCTCATCGGAATCTACAAATGCAAGGCAAGAACAGCTTCTTGGTATGCAAGAGAATCCTTGTGCCCCCCTGAATTGCAACAGATGTGTGGATGGATGCAACCTTCGGAAGGCCATTGCCGGCGTATGTGCAGGATTCTCAGCGCTGAGTGGCAGCATCAGGTGCGTTTCTTCAGGGATTGCCTTGTAGTCTCGTGTGAACGGCAAGGTGGAATGCGCGCGTTCGGGAGTTGGACAAAAATCGCTGACCAAGTCACGGAGCTCCTCTGGAACAGCGTTCGTCCCACACTGCCGACAAGAAAGAAAAAGCGCCTCCCTGAACGGCCGGTAGTCGTCATGGATGACGTCCACATTCCTGAGGAACACAAGAGAGTGCTTCAGCTGGGCCAAAAGTTTTGTTTGGAGCCACACCTACGGGCCATCGATAAGGTCGCCTTGGCAAGGTCGGTGTCCAACAAGGTCAAGGAAGAAGACAAATCTAGGTGTATCACAGAGTGCGTGGAACTTCTACCGCGGTCAGAAGGTAGGAAAAAAACGGGTTGTTAGTCTCGATCCCGCTATTGATTTTTTTACCACTAATGGCCTGCGTGTTCTTCTGTCGGACAAAGAAGGATCCTTTGTAGTAATGCCTGAAGGTATGTTCAGTGAAAAAGCAGGTGCGGCGGTGTGTAAAAACTTTCGCGAAGTGTCGGAGAAGCCGCAGGAGGTAGTAAAAAAAGTGCGCGAGCTCCTACTTCGGTTAAACTTGGAAAAAGTGTGCAGTGAAGTGAAAAAGATGAAAGGCTCTACTATGGAGACATTCTTTTCAGTAAAAACACACAAACCAGACGTTCCTTTCCGTGCGATCGTGTCGGAGAGAGGCACTTGGTGTCTTGCGGTGTCTACCTATCTTCAGTCGCAGTTGAGCTCACTGAAAGTGGAGGACCCGTTCATCATTCCGAACTCGTCTACGGTAGTGGATTTCCTTAAAGGAAATGTCCATGAGAACACTTCGGGATTTAGCATCGACATAGAAGACTTATATTATTCACTGCCTCATGATGAACTGATGACTAGTGTGAAAGAGTGCATTGGCAACAATGATGAAATGAAGTTTGTGACCAAGTGCGGCATCTCTGTTCAAGGTTTTTTAGAATTATTGTTCTTTTACATAAAACACACGTACGTCGGCTGGAAGGGTAAGAACTTTGTGCAGAGATCAGGGATCTGTATTGGATCCAAAGTGGCTCCAGTACTGAGCAACATTTTTTTTTAGCCAGAGTTGACAACGATCTTGTAAGTGGCCTTGATGGTTTGGTCCAAAAAGTGTACAGATATGTGGACGACTATTTGCTGTTGATTAATTCAGACAACTTTGATAGCAGAGTTGATGAAGTGCTCAGTGTGTTTGGTAATAAGGGGCGGGGCTTGACATTCACGCGCGAAGTGCCGAAGAATGGAAAGCTGCGTTTTCTGGATTTGCAGCTGTCATTCCAACAAAAACACGTGTGTTGGATGTTTTCCCCTAGGACCGCGAAGCCGCTTCTTGATTACAGGTCTGGGCACTCTCGCCTAGTAAAAAATGGCATTGCCATGACGTGCCTAAAAACGGCTTTGGACAGATCATGCCCACATCTTATGGATACAAGTTTTTTCGCGCAGGTGGAAAGACTAAGAGACGCGGCGTTTCCTGATAGTGTCTTAGCTGCTGCTTGCGAAAAAATAAAAAAGTCCATTAAGCAACGGCCTGGGACAGGCCTAGACAAGAATGTCCCGCAGGGAAGAAAAAGAGTGTCAAAAATCCCGTATATCCACTGGCTTTCGCACGGCCTTAAGAGAGTGGCTTCGAGGTATGGGGTGGATCTCGTGTTCTCCGCAGAAAACAAGGTGGGCCGCATCTGCTCAGCGGTTGGTAAGAAGACAGGTAGGCCAAAGCAGTGTGAAAAAAGAGGATGTGCCATTAAGCACGTAAGGCAGTTCGTTCCTTGCGCACGTGGTGTTGTATATAGAATACCACTGTCGTGCGGCAAGGCATACATAGGGCAAACTGGTAGATGCCTCAACGTGCGGTTGCGAGAGCACAGCAGCTCTTTAATAGGAAGGCCGTTCACGCATCTGGCGATGCATTGCAGAGGATGCGATCAGGGTAACTGTAAGCCGGTATTTGAGCAGACAACTGTAATCTACAGGCACAGGGGCTCAGCGGAGAGGGAGATTATAGAAGCCCTCTTTATCCAGAGGGAGGGGCCTGATTGCATCAGCCATCCCTCTATCAGTCTGCAGGAAGGGGAGATAGCCTATCTGCAACGTTACTTATAGGCATGCTGAGCATGTATTTTTAGTTTTTGGTCGATTCGTTGGGTTAAATTTGATGTCACTGCGGTATAAATGGTGTTTCCTGAATAAAATATTCCAGTTGCTAGTAGCGCGTCGTCCCGTGTACTTCTTCTCTGTTGTGTGTCGTTTTTTCGCGCCCCTTATCATCATGAAGAAGCCTGTTGTCGCTTGCGTTGCCGTATTATAGGCGTATGTAATGAATGGGAGGACTAAGTCCCAGTTAGAGTGGTCAGGCGTCACATACATAGATAGCATGTCACCGAGAGTACGATTAAAGCGCTCGGTAGCCCCATTGGTTTGAGGGTGGTAAGCGGTACATGTGCGATGTACAATAGCACACTCAGCGAGCAATTTTTCAATGACCTCGGACAAGAAGGCGCGGCCGCGGTAACTAAGCAGTTCTTGAGGGCCTCCATTACGCAACAAAAAGTGACGCAGTAGGAAAGTGTCAACCTCCTGTGCTGTAGCCGTTTGAAGAGCGGCGGTCTCAGCATAGCGCGTTAGGTGGTTGATAGCAACTATTATCCACCTGTTGCCAGTCGGAGTCAATGGAAGTGGCCCATAAATATCTATTCCAACCCGTTCGAAGGGTCGGGAAGGGTATGGCAAAGGTTGCAGTTCACCGGCGGAGGCGTGTGGTGGAGATTTTTGGCGCTGACATTCGGCACAAGAGCGGACGAAGTTGCGGACGAAGGTATACATACCACGCCAGTAGTAGCGATGTCGAAGCCTTTCGTAGGTCTTGAAGACTCCTGCGTGGCCACATTGTGGGTCAGCGTGGAAACAGGAACAAATCTGCGACCTCATGGTTCGTGGAATGACGAGCAGCCACTTGCGTCCCTCTGGTGCGTAGTTGCGTCGACGGAGAAGCGTGTCACGTATTGAGAAGTGTGGAACATGGCGCCGAAGCG